AGAACCAACAAAAATTACCTCGATACCATCACCCCAATCGCCGCCTGATGCCGGAATAGTTCCCATTGACTGTCCATTCTTTCTCCATAGAGAAATCTTTTTGTCATCTCCGGCACTTGCTACCACCAAATCTGGAATAACCCGTGAAACCCAAATTCAGACCCAATTACGGGTGCTTGTGAAGAAATTTTGAAAAACGAATGGTGAAGAAACCGAGCAAATAGTTAAAGGTACTGACTTGTGTGGTTCCACTTGACGGAGTTAACTTGCAATCCCAGCGTGGGAGTGTAGGTGAGAATGCAGGTATCCCGCGGCTCCAACGAGAGGTCAAAGAGCTTCACGGTGTCACCGCCGCTCGCCGCCAACAGTGTCTTTATTGAATCCGCCGAACTCATCTGCCGCCCTGGAGGTTCAGACACAGGTAAGTGCACCTATCACTACGCCGTTCAGTTAAGCCTCTAGCGGATTTGAATTTTCAGTGACGTAATGAAGTGAACAGCAGTAAATACTGGCAGAGAGCACTTTTTGCTGTGTATCCGATTTGATCATTCCATTTTTTAGGTTTTCGTTTTTTTTTTCAAAATGAAAGAAATGTAACAATTTGGATTTGAAACCCTACCGGACTGCCACAAAGACGCTAAAGAGAAATCCTCGATTCCCCACACCTAATCACATTTTTATTCGTAATCTTTATTTCTTCAGTGCCACAGAGAGTGTTTGGGATTGATACCATTTCAAAAAATTAATTTTTTGAAGTCATTTAGAAGAAAATGTTTAATACTAAAAACTGGTAATGTTTGAAAAAACGTGCTTATGAAAAAGTAAAATTTGATAATATTTAATAAAATAAGTGTTTTTTGTATAATAGAAAAAGTGAAAAACAATTTAAAACACAATTTCACCTATTTTCAACTTTTAGCTTTTAAGTGTTTAATTTAAGTAGATATTGTCATTTGAAAACACATATTTCATCTTTCTTAAGTCAAAAGGTGAAGCACTTATTTTAATTTTTAACAAACACTCCATAACTGATTTAAACTTAGTTTAATTAGAATTTTGAGTGAACTAGGTGTAATTGTGTAAATACTTCGTATAAGATTAGGAAGACTTGAGGAAAACTATGAATGACTGGGGTTAGTTCCTTGTACTGGAGATTGTGGAGGGAAGCTTCATGGATAATGCATTGACATAAACTAGATTCTCACCCGTGCGATACACGCGAAATAGATTATGTAATAACTATAGCATATTATGTGTTAACGATATTAGTTAATGCGTAAATGAATGAAAAGAGTATAAGGCTATGTTTGGCCCAACGAGTTGAAACTGGAGTCTAATGTCTGAATGGTAGGCTATTGTCTGAATGAGAGACTATTGTCTGAAACTGAACTTTGAAATGCTGAATCTGAATTGCTAGCTGAATGACACATATCCGTTTGGTAAAATGAGCTAAAAAATGTCTTGGTAATATGAAATTAAATTAAAGGGCATATAATTAATTATTACAATAAAATGTTTATTATAGTGATGTTTTATTTTAATACATATTTAAATATATTTATATTTGCATGTGTGTGTATATATGTAATATATTTCTAGGTTTAGATTTATATAATGCTCTTCAATACTTCTCAAAAGTGATTTTTTCTGTCCAACATCTACGGTAGGAAATTTTTCAAAGTCTAGAATGCATATCCAAAGAATCATTATCATGAAGAAGAAGAGATTCACTTGGATAAATTTAAAAACCAACAGACTTTTCTATATAAACAAGAAGAAAGTTATGAAGAAATCGTGCTATTCACCAGTAACAAGGAGAAAAGCAGGGGAAGGGAAATCTCAAAAAGACATCCATAAAAGAAATCAAAGGAACGTGGAGGAGAAGAGGTGAAGAAGTGCAACGGTGCAGGGATAATTTTGTCATAGACAAGAGTTATATTATCGACTGGACTGAAACGCTTAGGAGACTAACGTTTGTCTTCAGCTCAATATATTCAGCTTCCGTTTAATTCAGCTATGTATCCAAACAATGCTATTTCAATTTTAATTAGCTGGATTTGAAAAAATCCAGCCCTTTAAGGGCTGAAATGGCACGCCAAACATAGCCTAAGTATAATACATGATGGATAGTGTACCGAGGGTAGCTTACCCGATGGGTTATTTCGGGGAATAACTAGAGAGAAGTCAGAGCAATAAGTAGAGAGAGAATATGTATTCAGTATGTGAATTTGTGATGATTTACAATGGAAAATGGGTTGCTATTTATAGCAGCAATAAATGCGATGAGAGTACACGTGTCAACAATCTAACGATCGAGGGGTCACCTCAATCAGGATGGCACCGGCACTTGCATGTGGCCGCATTAAATGCGGTGGTTGGATGCGACGTTGTACTTGGTACAGTGATCCAGCGCATGTGGAGAGGAGATTCTGTCGAGGAAGACTGCCTTCGGCTGTACATACTGTGCCGAAGGCTCCGAGGGCCTCTATGAATCTGAGGGATGTAGGTGCTGAAGGCTTGTTTTCAAGCCTTGTTCTCCTGTGACATTCTTGGATTTGATTCCATGAACGTTAGCCTTCGGGCATGGTGCCGAAGGCACCCCCTTGTGTATCGTGGGCTGCTTGGAGCTCCATTTCCTGGGCTTGGCCCATTTGGGCTTTTTGGGCCTGATTGCAGTTGTGGAAGTATGTGGGCCGGGGGTCCTTGGGCCATATACTCCAGCAGGAGTCCCTCACTCCTTTTGCCGAAAGGTACTTGAGGGAAAAGGAGTAATTGTGTTTGTCCTCTGATGCTGGTGTTTGTTTGTAGTTTGTAAATTTGTAGGAGGTTTGCGCCTGCGTGTTTTGCCGGCGGCAGTCCCTCACTCCCGAAGGGTCATGTTAATGAGCTTTAACATTTTGTGGTTTTCCCGAGGGGGTTATACAGTCCCCCACTCCTTGAGGCACATGTAATGTGGTAAAAAGGAGTAGAGTGGTGCCTGTTTTCAGCGTAGGGCCGAGGGCTGACGCTTTTCGTTTCATTTTGGGGGGATGTCTCGTTAAAAACCTTATTAGGGAAAACCCTGTGGGAAAAAATCCTAATGAGGCAAAAAGAGTGTACCGAATTCCCCCAACGATGAATCAAAAAAGGCGAGCCCTTGGTTTGAGATGAAGAGTAATGTTAACGCCGAGAGCTATCCGTGACCCGGGGGCTTTCTTGTTGATTGGTCGGAGGCACCTTGAGGATATTCTAGGAATGCTGAGGGGAGTCCCCCAGCCATCGAGGGCTGAGGGCGTGAGGAATGCGAATGTGTGTTCCTGTGTTGCCGAGGGGTCCCCTGGTTCTCAATATTTTGAGGGTTAAAAGTACCCGAGGGGTTCCCTGGTGAGGGGTGTTTACTTCTTGATGAGGGAGTTTGAATGTGTGATCTGAGGGATGAACATGTTCGTTGTTTTGCCCGAAGGGTGCCAGCTGAAGGCATCATTATGAGGTGGCCGTTTGAAATATAGTCGTTGGGATATGACCATTGGAGAAGGCGCCCACGTGGCGCGTCCCCGCTGGTTGTCTCTGGGCGGGTGTCACCGGTTGGCTGAGGCGACGGTCGTAATGATGATTTTTCTAATCGGGGGCCCAATTCTCGGCCCAGGCCCGAAATGGGGTGCCTATAAATACCCCAAGGCCTGAGTGCCACCCCTTGCGTGATTCATTTGCCTAGCGAAGCTCTGGCCAATTTTTTCTAGAGAGAGAAAGCATAGTTCAATTGAAACCAAACTTCTAAGGTCAGTTTCTCCTCCGTTCTTGGGTATTCTAGCATACTTTGCTTTTCAGCTTTAGATCTAGTGTTAGTGACCCTTAGGAAAATTTCCTTCCTTTCTCGATTCTTTCCCCCACGAACTTCCGAAGGATGTCGTCCGCTTCTGACTCTCAAGTTATTTCCGGAGAGCCATCGGTCTAGGCCGAGACATGGTCGGAAGAAAGGTCAGCGAGTGTAGAGCCCTCGTCTGACAATGACTCAGCGGTTGCGGTGGAGATGCAGAAGAATCTAGTGCCCGAAGCCGAGGACTTCGAGCAGGTGATAGAGGATGAGGAGCTTGCCTTCGCTGTGCATACTGTCGAGAAGGAGGAGGAAAAGGAGCGGCATAAGGTCACCATCACCGTCCTTCCCCCACGCAACGCGGGTGAGGCCAGCAACTCCCGGCCACTCAATCCGGAGCCTCTCAGGGTGGCCCCGGGAAAGAAGATCAAGAAGAAGATGGGGGCCCCGAAGAAGAAGGGGAGTGTTGCTGATCTTGGGAAACCCGCCGGGATTCCTCAGGGATAATCGTTTTTGAACACCGCCGCCCTCGAGCTGACGTCGAGGGCCGATAGGGCGGAATGTTACGTCACCCAGCTGCATGTTGGGCCTTCGGCAACTGTGGTGGAACCGGGACCCGATGATGTGCTTCCCGGGGCTCCCGAGGAGTGCATTGTTGTTCACGTGCTCTCGGTCACCATGGGCCTCCGGTTCCCTCTACATCCCCTCCTCCTTGAATACCTCTGGTATGTGTGTAGGCTTGCCCCCCTGCCAGTTGACTCCTAACAGCCATTCTTACATTGCCGGATTCTTGCACCTCTGCCGGTCCCGGGGGTGGCTCCCAGACTCGATTTATTCTTTCAGAGCTTCAACCTCTGTCGTGGAGGCCATGCGAATGCCGAGGGTTTCGTGAATTTACAACAGTTCGCCAAGTGGAGGCTGTTTACTAAGGCGCCCTCGTCGCACAAGGGCTGGAAGGACCGCTTTTGCTATGTTAGGCTGGCCGAGAACCCATTCCCGGGGGAGTTGCGTGATCGTTTCAGACGGCTCCCGAAGGTGGGGAATGCCGCCCTCGAGAAGGGCGGTAAAAAGCTTGCCAAGATCCCGGAGGGGCGTGAGAAGCACGTGAAAATCAAGGAGTCCACTCTGGAGGATGACTTGTATCTCCTTGGCTTTCGGCGCTACCGTTTTCTGGGAGAATCAGACGAGAGGTTTCCCGTCCTCGACCGAGCCTTCGAGAGCACAGGAGGTAGTTCCCGGGGGCTCCAATTTTGTGCACTTAGAATTTTTTTGTAGTTTAATTTTTGTCCTTGTCTTGACCCCTCGCCCTCACTTATTTATGTTGTTTTGTAGGTGCTAAAATGAACGTGAAAGGCTTCGCCGGTTTGAAGAAGAAATCGGCCAAGGAGCCGAAGAAGAAGGAGGCGTGCGTGCAAAAGCCCGTCGATGAGTTCTTTCCGAAGGGCGGCGAGCCCTCGGCCGTCCCTGCCGATGTTGTGCCTGCCGCTGCAAAGAGGAAGGCAACCGGCAAAGATGTTGCTCCTGCCGGCAAAAAGCCAAAGAAGGCGGAGGCCGGGAAGAAGACTCCCCCGGTCCTTGTTGTGGATGAGCATTCGTCCTCCTCACCCTTGATTGCAACAGCGACGGCTCCATCCAACCCCCCCTCTGGAGACTTCCCTCGGGAGATCGTACAATTCTCCCTCAGAGGAACCGCCGTGATGCACGACACAGTTGATCCGAAGGCGTTCCTGGGGGGCATCACTTCGGAGATGGATAGGGAAGCCCTTGGCACCTATGATGATGATGCCCTCGAGAACAGGATCCTCCGGTGTTCTCTTACTGTAAGTCCCTTTCCCTTTGTTTTTTCTCCTTTTGTCTTAGAACATTTTTGCATAGTGCCCTTACCCATTTTGTTTGTCGTTTACAGGCTTACATCGCCCTCGGTGAACAAACCCAGAGGGGGAAAGTGTTGCGTCTTGAGAAAGCGCAATAGGATGAGCAGTTGAAGAAGCTTGTCCACGACAACGCCGAAGCCGCGAGGCAGATGGCAAAGTTGGAGGAAGCCCTTCGGCAGATGGAGCTGCAACTAGAGGCCGCTAATAAGGGCAAGGCTGAAGCCGAGAGGGCCACTGCTGAGGCCGCCAAGAAAGCCTCAAAGGAGGCTGAGGAGGCTAAGAACAAGGCGGTTGTCGTCGCCCGGGAGGAAGCCATAGACACCTTCGTTGCTGAGGGCTGGAGAGCTGAGGGGCGCAAGCAGTGGCTGGCCTCGGCCGTGGAGGCCTCTGTTGAAGAATGATGCGGCGGCCCCGGTGTAGAGTGGCTGGCCCGGAAGGGCAAGGAATACTACGATGGGGGCGAGTACTTTACTCACGCCCTCATCTACCGGAGGATGGCCCGACATTATGGGGTGGAGCCGAAGGATTTTGATCCGGCAGCTTACGGTCTTCCCCTTCTCCAGCCAGACGTTAGAGTCCCTCTCCCAGCCGGTGCTGAAAGGCCTAATCTCGAAGATTCCGAGTTGTTGAAAGAGGCCGAGGATGAAGAGGAGGCCGGAGGGGATGTCACTTCCAAGCTTGCCGAAGGGGGTGCTGTTGAAGTCGCCAATTCCTTGATTGTACTTTAGCAATATTCTGTAACAAACATTTATGAGCCGTCGGGCATAAATATTTTGTAACAAACATTTACGAATGTATGCACGCCTTCGGGAATTTGGTGTTTGGATTTTATTCCTTTCTTCTCTTCTGATGAATGAATGCTTTCGTTTTCCTTTATGCCTTTTCCATAGTTGTATGACTTCCTTGTGTACTTTACGTTGTGTTAACGAGTTGTTGGCCCTCTTCCATTGATGACCGAGGGCCAATAGTTTAGGACTTAGAAAATTTTCAAGTGGTGTTTCACCACTAAACCTTCGGTTAAAGTCTTCCTTTAGCTGCATAGAACATCTAGCCTTTGACCTTTACCACTGGGGGGTCCGGCGTTGAGGTCTTAGCTATTTTTTGGGTAATGGCATCAACATGCCCTTGGTTCCAGTAGTGGCTTTAGACAAAATCTCCCTTGGCAAAGTATGGTGGTGCCGGGGCCCTTGGCCCATGGAGATGACGGCCTCCAGGTCTTCGAGGGCGGCATGGCCGAGGATGATGTTGTGGGCGCAGTCAATGTTGACGATAACAAACTCCACCTCAAGCTTGGCTCTATGGAGCTCGTCGCCGAATAGTACCGGGAGGGTTATTACTCCCTCTGAATCTATGGTGTCTTCGGTGAAGCCGGACAGAGGGGTCCGGATGGGCCGAAGGGACTCCCTCTCCAGGAGCAGCTCCTTGAATGTGCTAAGGTACATTACGTTGATGAAGATGCTCGTGTCAACTTAAGTTCTGTGGATTATGGTGTTGTTGATCTCACTCTGGATCACCAACGCATCCCTGTGAGGAGAGGAAACCGGGGGGAGATCGATGTTGGTGAAAATGATGGGTTCCTCCCTCAACCGCTTTACGGGGGGGGGGGGGGGGGGGGCATATGAGTGACTTCCCCTACATAAAGGGACTGTGCCCACTTATTTCTTTGGCTCTTGGAGTCTCCCTTGTGTTGCCGCCGGTGATCATGTGGATATGGTGCTTCTTCTGCTGGCACAAGTCGTACCCTTCTTCTTCGCTGAGGTTTATGATGATGAATGAATGAATGATGCATTGTCACCATATTACTTGAGATGTTTATACTTACATTTATTTCAGTCTCAGACCAAACCAAACTTAAACAAACCAGACAAGACCATACTTGGATAGTAGAAATAGCAGAAGCACCTATATATTCGATCATTTTCTCACAAATTTAGATTTAAGTATAATTCAAGAATGACATAATACAATTTCACATATTTTACTCCCTTATTTTACCTATTTAGAGAGACAATTCGTCTAAAAATGTAATTCATATAAATTTATAGTCACCTATATTACTTAGTCATTAATTTATATAAACCTTTGAAAATGAAAAAAAGATGGCAAAATCAATAGGGAGGCTGTTTGGCGCATATTTGGGTTTGAAATTCAATATAAGACCCTAGTAGTGAACCTTTGAGCTTCCGTTTGCCGGAAGCACAAAGTGTTGTGTTTCAAGATGATCAGCCTCTAGATTCAGTGGTTCGGGAATATTCAGTTAAGGACAGTATGTTCACCTCATGGATGGAGGCCAATAAGAAGTACCCGGAAGTAATGCTTTAGTATTGTGAGCACATCGATTTCAATGCATTTTTACAATTTTTCGAGTGAAAACGTATTTGTTGGATGTTTTTGATCTTTTAAGTAATGCCTATAAATCTCATTTTAACCATAATATTATAAGTGTGTTTCGTTTAATGCTTTGATGTATATCTGTATTACATGAAGATAGATGATATAATCAATTGATAGTGTGATTTGAATTACTAAGCACAAATAAATTCGAAAAAAAGAATTCTCAAACCGTGCATCGCACGGGTGAGTTTACTAGTTTAGATGAAAAACAGCCCAATTTTTTGTTGTACATCATACCTTTACCGTACCAAAACTTTCGGTATGCAAAATTTATATACCGTTACCTTACCGAAATTTCGGTATACCGCATTTCGGTATACCGAAGTTTCGGTTCGGTAATGGTACGGTATCGGTAAATTACATTGCATGTCTCCCAATACAACAAATTATCATAGACTAACGAAATATGCTAAATCGGTGTTACTAGTGACATATTTATTTCATTATTAAAATTTTACAAATGTAATTAATAATCTATTGATGTCATACTCAATATTGAACAATAATTATTATCAGTATATTTAAGCATTTCAACATGCCACGTATTAAAAAACAACACATTCTCCTAAAATAACTTGAACGATATAGATATAATTAAATCAGCAGTGATCTCTTCCAACAATAATAAATAAAATTATTCAAACAACATGGATATAAAATCATTTATTCCTAATACTACCTCTCTCCCAAAATGTGAGTTTTTACCACTTTTAGTCCCCCAACTATTGTGTCAGTGACACTTTTGGTACTCGACTTTTAATTTTTCCACTTTTAGTCCTCGACTATTGTGCGAGAGACACTTTTGATATCCGTCTTTGAAAATTTCCGTATTTAGTCCTTCGACTTTTGTAGAAGTGACACTTTTGGTCCTTCAACTATTGCAATAGAGACATTTTTAGTCCTCCACTTATTGTGTCAAAATCATAGTAGTAGGACTAAAAGTGTCAATTTGATAATACTCAAAGGACTAAATGTGGGAAACTTGAAAGTAGAGGACTAAAAGTGTCTCACGAACAATAGTCGAGGACTAAAAATGGAAAAATTAAAAGTCGTGTACCAAAAGTGTCACTGACACGATACTCGGGGGACCAAAAGTGGTAAAAACTCCCCAAAATGTTTAGCCAAATCTCAAAAATTGGACCATGGTTTTGATTAGTATAATATTATGAAAGTTATAAATTTTATACTTTTATGAAAGTACTTTTAACAAAGAACATTTTCATATAATTTTTATGTTATAAATAATTTCCAATAAATATATATTAATCATCAAAGTTTTGGATTTGACTAATCATTTTGGGATGGAGGTAGTATGATATTGTGCATTTAGTCATTTTTATATATTTTTTAAAAAAATGAATAAGACTTTTGGACAAAGTTGTGTGTCTCAACTCGTGAAATCCCTATGTAGATACACTGTCACATAAGTGTACCTCTCTCCACTCATCAGCTACTCAGCGACTCAGTCATCGCAACTCTCAAGCTCTTGGAACAAGAGGAACTTGTTTTTGGACATTAGTACATTACTAATTAGTCATTGGAGATTTGTAACCAATGTAAGTATTAATTTTGGGCTTCATAATTGTAATGGAGTTTTACAATACTCTAGAATTAAAAGTAATAATTGTTGGGTAGGGAGTCGGTACGGTATTATACCGGTATACCGCGATATTTAAAAACATTTACCGTTACCGTACCGAAATAAATCGGTACGGTATGATACCGTACCGAAAATGACGGTATACCAATATTCCGGTATTTTTCGGTACGGTAAGTGCGGTATACCGATTTTCCGGTATTTTGGCTCACACCTAATACTACCTCCGTCCCACTAACATTGGGACGGAAGAAGGTGACACGGTTATTAAGAAAAGTGAGTTTATGTGGTTGATATTGAATTGATAAAGTAAGAATGTTTAAGAGTCACCCAAACTTTACCAAATATGGTATGAGACAATCTTAATGGGATTTCCCGAAAAGATAAAATGAGACAATCTTAGCGGGACGGAGTGGTACCATTTAAACACCACCACCCCAAATATTCCGTATGTAGTACGGAGTATAATTTTCTTTGGATGGTATTTAAACTGTGTGGTAAGAACCCCAATTAAACACAAAGTATTTAAACACAGCCACCCCATTTAAACACCACCACAGATAATTCAATTTAGAACCCAATCCAGCCCAATTTCAGAACCACCACAACCCAAATTTGGATCGAACCCAACCTACCCATTCCCAATAATTAAATACGGTATATGAATATATAAATTACAATGACTCTATAATTAATTTTTTCTACTTTGTGTATTCGTTTAAATCATCTACTCCCTCTCCCTCCCAATTTGTTTTACAAAATTTCCCATTTTGGTTGTCCCAAAACGGTATATCTTTAAGTTAATGGGAAAAAAGTCAGATTCTTTCATCATCCATGAGTTCACTGTGCCACTGTTTAGTTAAATTCTAGCAGACTATGGTTGGGGCATGATCAGTGGCGGAACCAGAACAAAAATTGAGGGGCGAAAAAAAAATCAAATCATCGAGTTGGAAAGATATATAATCTCTACTATATTCTTTTTTATATGTATTTATATAGATTAATTTGATCTCAAATTGAATGCAGAAGAAATATTTTCATTTTCATGAAGTGACTCTTTATTTAGACCTATATACACAAGCGCACACATACACATACATATATATACAATCACATATATTTCCATCTATATTTGTTTTCTAGTGCCCAAACAAAACAATAGACTTTCTCTTAACACGCGAGTTTATTTCGATTTAAAATGCTTATCATTTTATTTTAAAGTTTTGTTTAAATTTCGATTTAATACGCTCGTTTTAAATATCAAGGTTTAAATAGAAATATAGCTAAACAAATAGAGGAAGATAAATGAAAACTCCCATACGGAGTATATGTAAGTTACTAACTTATCAAGAAAATAATAATTTTGTTTTACTCTTTTCAATTTAACGTTGTTTCTAGGTTATTTGTTTTTTAAAAGGATATTAATTGTTTTATTTATGCAAATTTATTAAATAAATTTAATTATACACATATAATTGAAGTCGCATATTTCAAATATTAACGAGAAGTTTTGGCATATTTGTATTAAAGCAAAGAATAAATAGTTATGTTAAGTTAAAACTTTATAGTCATTGCACTAAACAGAAAATGTAAATAACATGTCAATATTCGAAAAAGTAAAAAAAGTTAAATATTATAAATTGGAAAAATAAAAATGTATAATAAAAGTAAAAGAAATGTAGTGCGATAGGAAAAAATTAAAGGGGAAAATAATTAAAATACCCCAAACTTTGAAGGGGTGTGAGATAAACACCCCAAACTTGCATATGTAATTTAAATACCCCAAACTTTATATAAAAGTTATTTTAGCACCATCTTCATGTATTATTTCTATGAAAGTT